CAGATGACAGCACTCAAATTTGGTGCTGATACCATGAAATTTGTGGGAGGAGTTTGTTACAGTGTAAAACATGTCATTTCCTGTGGCCAGCAGGTGGCGCTATAACTGTATCTGGATATCGGCATGTAAACGTGTTCAGGTCAGGACTCTTATCAAACGTGTAAATTTTGAGGCAGATCGGATAATGCATGCCTGAGTTATAATGACTTCCTGTTTTGTGGCGAATCGTCAAAGTTTGCGAGGCTGCCACGGACACGGCCATCGATGAAAACTCTAAAGCTTCGCAATTTAACATCGCCAAGGCCTTTAGATGACATAACTCAATTTTGGTGTCGATCTGATAAAATCCCTAGGAGGAGTTCGTTAAAATACGACACCTGGAAATGGCAAAAATGCCACTTTTTCGCCGCAGGAAGTTAAAAATATCAGACTTCCTGTTGGGTTTGAGATATGGCTCCAAGAGACTTTTTCGTATGGTTTGGCATGTTTGAGGTCTGTGCCAATTTTCGTGCATGTGCGTGATTTGTGTATCGGGGGCTCGTCCGTTTAATTTTTCTAGGTGGCGCTGTCGAGTCATTTTGCCACGCCCACTTCCGAGACCCATATCAACCTGCTATTTACACCGCGTTTGGTGTGTGTGCAAATTTTCATGAGTTTTCGGGCATGTTTAGCCCCTCAAAAGTGCCCCGATAGGGGGCGGAATAATAATAATAATAATAATAAAAAACGGAGCAATTCCAATAGGGCCTACGCACCGTTTCGGTGCTCGGTCCCTAATAATAATAATAATAATAAACGGAGCAATTCCAATAGGGCCTACGCACCGTTTCGGTGCTCGGTCCCTAATAAACGGAGCAATTCCAATAGGGCCTACGCACCGTTTCGGTGCTCGGTCCCTAATAATAATAAACGGAGCAATTCCAATAGGGCCTACGCACCGTTTCGGTGCTCGGTCCCTAATAAACGGAGCAATTCCAATAGGGCCTTGCACCGTTCGGTGCTCGGTCCCTAATTAACCACTTGTTACAACAGCATCTCTGAACATACAACACAACAAACCTTGAAACAAATGATCTACAGCAGCAGCAGAAGAAGAGCACACAGATTACACTTCTGTCAGCTGAGAACCACAAACTGAGGCTACAATTCATCAAAACTAGACAACAGAAGACCGGAAACAGGCTACTTGAGTTTTGAGTCTGATAAGTTTTGATTTCTGCTTAGAGATTCAGAAGGTAGAATGGGGATTTCATGTAAACAACATCTATCAGTAAAATGCAGCATATTATAAAGCTAAAAACCAGATCAAATTATTTTTTTGAACATGACACTGAGTTCACTTTACTCAAATAAACAGATAACCAGAACCAGACCAAATAACCAGATCTTAACCCAATAGAGAAACTTTGGAATGCAGAGTAACAAAAGACCCTCACCATGAATGTGCAGCGAATAAATTTACAACATACTGCTATGTCAATATTAACCAAAATTATTCCCCTTTGATGTAACTATGTCATGAAGAAATAAAGCTTCATTTTTCAAATTCATATTTAAATTGCTAAACAAAAATCCCATTTACCCACTAGATAAATGTATTGATGTCAAATTAAAAAAACTGCAAGGTGTTATTAAGGTCTTTAAACAGTTACAAACAAAACAGTTGCGTTACAGTTTTTAGTACTAAGTGATTCTTCTGGATTATTGTTTTAGAATTATGTGAAGTCTGCTTATATTTGCTATTCAAATGATACAGCACACCCATATGAGCCTTCTGTAAAGCTGAACAAGCATTACTCCACTAAGGGCAAAGGTGGAGGTGACGGCTGGCAAAATTAAAATGAATTTAAAATGACTTGAAATTGAGTGCTCTGTCTGAATGGGTTTCATTTAAGATATTGATCTCTTGATTTGCTTGTGCCTACAGCAAAACACAAGGGTCATGACAATGAAACAAGGTGCCAATGTCAAATGTATCCTTCTGTTGAAATGTAGTGCATCTGAATTTGACCTTAATATGAACGTTCAAGCCCAAAGCATCACAAGAAAATATTTTAGAGATCTTGGGTGGTTGTCTGTATTGATAAGAGTCATGCACAGGGGGAAAGAAAACTAAATGAAACTGATAAAATAAAGATATACAATCATGTATTTAATATAAACGAGGGTCAAAATATGATTATTTTATTTATAATAAGGAGAATGATTAAATTCATTATAAAATCTAGAGGAGAAGCCTTATTAATTAATTTATTCACATCTTAAGATCATTTGTTTTTTCATAACAGTCACTTAAAATAGCGTTATATTGAGAAAATTCTCTATATTATAAATTATAAAATATAATTATCTATATTATAAAAATATTTTTATAATTATAAGTTGTATTATAACAACAAATTCTAACAAACATCTCATAATGAGTGACTTGCATAAGTGACTTTTTTATTTTATAATTTATCATGATCACATTCAAATATAAAACTGACAGATATTATATTATTATTATGAAAAAACTTTTAAATATTAATGACATCACTTCATATTATTTTATGGATAAATAAAATTCCTGAAAACATTTTGTATATTTACTAAAATGTTTAATAAGTCATTATATTGAGAATGTTCATCAATTATCATGCCATGTTAATTTAAAGTATTATTAAATATAAACATTTCAGTATTAAGTTCTTGTAACTGTTAAGTCCCTAAAATGTGAAATTAAAAAAAGGTAACGTTTATTCATTATAACAAGAACATGTAAAACATGTTATGGAATGAGTAATCATTTGTGTAAAAGTTTCTTATTTTTATGAGATGTTAAGTCATTACTTTGCAAAACTTTTCAGTTTTTATAGGATGTTAAATGATTTTATGAGCAAGTTGCAAATTTTTATAACTGTCCTGGGGGCTTTAGCAACAAATATTTAACCCCCCCCCCCCCCCCCCCCCCCGCTGTAGAAGACAATTACTGAAGGCAGGTTTTAAGATGCAAAAACCTACATGTCAAAGTAAAGGAATGCCATGCACTCATCCCAACCCATAATCTTAAAGCAGCTAAAATGCTTACAATTATGGGTCTGTTGCCGAAGAGAAAGGATAAGCTACTTTGTTTAACTAAACTGGCATCATTCATGACAGTGTGATTGTGAGGTTCAGACACAGGCCTACTGGGAAAATAGTAATGTCATGATGTATTTCAGAACTGTGGCACACCCACAAAGACCAGATCACAGCCTGATAGCACAAAATAAGCTGATGGATAACGGAAAGATAAACCTTCTGTGTCAACAAAGAAGCTCAATTTGGGTAAATAGCAGGACATTTGCAAACCTTATACAGAATGTGGTATGCAGTGCAATGCCTCTGTAAATGTGACAATGACATCACATAAACACCAGGATGCACTATATGGACACGCCCCCCTTTCCAAAAACACACCAACTATGGCAAGCCGTTTTGCCATTCAATCTGTAAACCAAACTACTATCTATTTTCATGCTACTACTACCTTTTTTGCAAGGCAAGGATTAGAATTTATTTATTAGCCACTAGTGCATGCTCTTTAAAGAGTAGTACATTATTAAAAGACACCAGTACTTCATTAGACATTAATACTTAATTAGACATCAGTATTCTTATTGGTACATTATTAGATACTCCAATTTATTTATAAGAATATTTCATCTAATTAGATACTAATTCGTTAGATATTAGAACCTATCAAACTCTAGATTATTCTATAAGAAACTCATTAGTTATTCATTAGATAGTATTTCTTAATTTATTAGTGACTAGTAGCACAACACTTTATTTTAAGGTGTCTTTTTTACACATGTTCCATGTACTTACTATAGTAAATACAGTTAATTATGCATAATTATATGTAGGCATCGGCCAGTATAAGAATCTGATGTTATGATAACCTTGGATAAAAATATCACAGTTTCACGGTATTGTGTTTACTGCTCCAAAATAAGTTATTTTTAAATGTTTTGGTATTTTAAGAAGCATTTAAAATATTTTGGACCAGTAGCTTTTGATGTTCCTTTTCAGCTAAAGATACGGTTGCCCTATAGTTGTGAAAAACATGTAAAAAACCAACCAACAAACAAACAAACAAATAAATCGTACAAATAACTTAGGAATGGTAACAGAAAACTTTGGCGGTTTTAAAACCTTGAATTTTCCAAACCGCATTATACCTTGAAACCGGTTATCCTCCAATACCAAATTGCATGTAACTAACCCTAAACCTAACCAGAATTCTAACCCTATTCGTAAGTACATGGTAATTAATAATACCCAGTTAAGTCACCTTAAAAAAATAAACTGTAACCAAAATCTTTTTTTTCTTGACATTTGTCATTCAGATTTCAACTAATCAGCTTTCACTAGAACACGATCCAACTAGGGCTAAGCAAAATATAAGTTTAACAGCATTATCACAATGTGCAATAGTTTTTGTACAACTTTGAAAGGTTTTGATCATTTCAAATCATGACTAACACACACACACAAACACACACGGACACACATAAACTAGCATGAAAATATGCCAGTGTGGTTTATGTTTAATGTTAAAATGGCTTGCCATTCACCAACTCTGCTTCTATAGCAACAAACTAACAAGTTTCACGCGGGAGTAACAACTTTAACCAACACTAGTACTTTCGTCGTATGCTACATTTGGATGCAATCTGATGCATAATAGATGTGAAACCCCGTGCTCACTTCAGAATACGTACATAAACAAGTGTACAATACAGATGCGCACTAGGTTCGCCATAAGCGCATATAGTCCATATCATTATACTAGGTTCTCGTAGCTTTATTGTTGATAGATAGATAGATAGATAGATAGATAGATAGATAGATAGATAGATAGATAGATAGATAGATAGATAGATAGATAGATAGATAGATAGATAGATAGATAGATAGATAGACACTTTGTCACTTTAAACAAACTTTATATGTTAAATGACAGTTAAACTGACCTTGTTTGACACACTTGAACCGAACAGGGTCTTTGCAGTGCCTGACCACAGCCCAAACATCCCTGATGGTCAGTCCGGCCACTGGAGTATCGTTTACCTCCAGAAGCAGCTCGTCCTGCTGCAGTTTGCGCCTGTCCGGTTTCACCTCTCCAATAACGGGGAACTGTCCGTTCTCCGCGCCTCCCTGCAGCTCGAACCCTAGATCCCCACTCGGACCCCTGGACAACACAACCTCATGGACTCTGTTAGTCCAGTGACTTTTCTTCTTCAGGCTTTTGGACATGTTTGAAGTTGTTGACAGGACTACAGCCATAAAAGCGCCTTGTCCGTTCAGTCGCTTCACTAAAGTTGCACGGTCATATGGTTAGAGTCTCCATATCAGCAGTAGATCCTCTACGGCAGCCTCTTAAAACTGCTCCTCTCACTGTAACAGTGATGTCCGATTCGCGTATGAACCGTTTTTACGAGCCGGTTCTTTTCGGTGATTCGTTCGAGCCAATTCCAGTTTGTGAATCATTCGGCGTAAAAAGCCTCAATTAACGCTAAACCTGACTAAAGTTACACAAATACGTGAAATATAGTGATAAACTTTAGTATTTCTTTAAAAACGCCACAACATGAATGTTTATCAGTGGATATAGCTAATGTACAAATTCTAGACTTTTAAATACCGCAACAAGCCTTCTGTGAACACTTTTGGGCGGCAAATCAAATGGGCTGTGCGCTGGAATAGATTCCTTTACACGAATCGGACTTCATAGCGCTGCACTGAAACCAAACTGCTCGGGAAAGTGAGCCGGATGTGATGTGTGGAGGAGGAGAGAAGAGACGCTTCCCGCTGGAGAAATGAAGAGAAAAGAAGAGCGAGAGAATGCAAGAAAGTAATGGAACTTTCATCACATCGTCAGCCTGGAGCGATTTTTCCATTATAAACGACCGCTGTGCCGCCTCCTGGAGAAAATGCAAAATTAAACGCGTTCAAACCTTTGGTCGAAAGTTCTGCATTTTTTTCTGCAGATGTGCTGTAGTAGCTTAGTGCTGTAGTAGACAGAAAGATCAAAGTTTCAATGCAGGGATAGAAGAAACTTTGATAAGCAAGTCATTTTAAATCATCTGACAATACAAATCATAGCTTTACATTTTAAAAGAGCATGTAATCTTTCTTCAGTTGTTTATATTTTAAGCTGCACTCAAAAATATTTTGCTGCTTGCTCAAACAACCTTAAACAACAAAATGTATGAGCTGAATCAACACAATTATTGGGGAGTTTTGTGGGACAACTTAATTGTTTTGTGTTAATCCATTCATTTTCTTTTCAGCCTAGTCCCTTTATTAATCTGGGGTCGCCACAGCAGAATAACCACCAACTTATCCAGCATACAACTTATTAGCCTACCCAATTTACCTATAGCATGACTTTAGAATCGTGGGGGAAACTGGAGCACCCGGAGGAAACCCATGCAAACACGGAGAGAACATGCAAACTCCACACAAAAACGGCAACTGACCTTCTTGCTGTGAGGTAAAAGTGCTACCCACTGCACCACCGCGCAGCCTGTATTATGTTCAATCAAATTGAATTTGTGAAAACGATTAAGTTAACTGAACCGATTTGTGTTGAGACAACATGAAGTAATTGTGTGGAACCCAGCATTTTTTACAGTGTACAATTTTACTGGACAAATTGCTTTTGAGTCCTGGAGTATGATTATATAATTGTATTTCCTCCACAGAACAGTAAATTATACATTTAATAAAATGTTTACCAGAAAATCCTAAATTTCAAAATGTTACATGAATGCAATATAAGTGAAAGGAAGGTCTGTTTAAGTAAATGTGTTGTAATTTCACAGAATCCATTTATATCCACTAAAACTAAAACCATGTAAAGCATTAGATTTTTTTCTCATTAACATAATTTAGTACTTGTAAAATAAATTCCATGTATATGCAGAAAAAAAATCAGTTCTATAAAGATCTGATGGCAAAAAAATAATCTTAATTTATATATTTTTTTATGTCTGCAGCATAAAACAAACAATGGTTTTACTGACACACTAGACTATAAATTGTACATTTAGAAGGTAGATATAAAATATATATATACAAATGTGGAATTTTAATTTAAAATGTAGAATTTTCAAGTGGTCTATTAACTTATTATATTTCTATTGTATTATAACATAAGCATGTATACACATCTACAAGATAAATACCCCAAATTAAAGAGATTATAACTCATAGAATGACAGCACAGCTGTTTTAATCTTGTGCAGTGCAGTTTTCCATATCCGAGAATCAGGTTTTCAAGTAGATTAGTTACAGAGCAACACAGCGTCACTTTATGATCAAACGCTGTTGAAACCAGGCCAAATGAGTTTTAAGTTATTATTTGTTTTGCTATAATCCATCATCACACAGAACACATGCTTTCAAGTCAGCACTTCGTCTTCCAAGACAGCTCCCATGATTCGCTTTAGAAATATTATTATGGGATATTTAACTCCATACTGAGAAAACTTCCTATTTTCTGTTCTTTTAAAAAAAATCTCAAAGTTTTCTAAAGCAACATTACAGGTTGAGTTTTACTGTACTGTAGATCGGTGGTTCTCAAAGTGGAGGACAATGAAGGGGGATCGCCTTGTGATTTCCAAAAATCTATTTTTAACAAACCATAATTACCTTATTTTATCCACGAACTGAAGAGAAAAGAAAAATAGATGTTTATAGTTACTGTATACTATATAGTTACTATAGTATCTTATAGTTACTAGTTCTATTGGATTGCGACCCCTGGGGTAATTACATTATATTAAAGACACAGCAATAGCGTCAGATGCAGCAGATTGATTTTACAACACCACGTTAAACTTTCTGGCCCATTTACAGCACTCACATACATTAAAAAATTAAACGAAGAATAGACTTGGGTCTATTTGTGTGTGCGCGCCATTGCATGCATTGCATGCCAAAACCCACCTCAGAGCATATTGGGGGTTGCGAGTCAATGGCATTGTTATTTTGGGGGTCGCGGGCTAAAAAGTTTGGGAACCCCTGCTGTAGATAATAAACTGGAGAAGCAAAGAATTTAAATAATATGAGCTTTGGCCACAAATATCCTTGTAATGCAATGTTAAATTCAAATACCAAGCATAATATAACGTTCATGACAAATACAAGTAAAACACAATACCTCCTGCCCAGTTTTCATTTTGTATATGGATTTATTTCTAGGCCAACCTTATTAAGTGAAATTGTTTGGTTCAGTTCCTTTGAATGCAATATTCCCAAACCAGAAGTACGGCACATAATTTAAATGTCTAGTTGTTTATGTAAACAACTAGTAGATATTACTTTTTTTCTAGAAATAATGCTGAAATCGAACAATTGTGCACTGCATCCACACCATAAAAGCTTTCTTCTGACTTAAAGGAATACATTAGGATGATGCTTGGCTAACTGACGTTTAGAGGAAATAACAAGGGCCAATGCTGTGACCTTTGCTCTGGGAGACAGAGGAGCAGCTCTCTGCATTCCACAGATGGGAGTATCTGAGCGATGAGTGAGAGTGGGAGACAAACAGACAAGACGAGAAAGAGTGGGGGTGTTTTGACAAGGCTAAAAGAATTGTTTGGAAGGAGGGTTTTAAACAAGTTTAGGAATTCCCTGAGCATGGCAAAAGGATATTGAGGAGTTGGTGCTTTTGAAATGGACATTGTGTTCAGTCCAGCCACATGAAGATGCACATATAAGCAGTTTAGATCTACAGCATCATAGCAGTTAGAGGCCATTCACATACAATGCAATTTTGGGTATAAATGAATTTGTAAGGGCCATCCAGTGGCGCAGCAGGTAGTGCTGTTGCCACACAGCAAGAAGGTTGCTGGTTCCAGCCTTTGCTGGGTCAGTTGGCGCTTCTGTCTGGAGTTTGCATGTTCTCCCTGCCTTAGCGTGGGTTTTCTCTGGGTGCTCCTGTTTCCCCCACAGTCCAAAGACATGCAATACAGGTGAATTAGGTAGGCTAAATTGTCCGTAGTGTATGGGTGAATGGGTGTGTATGGATGTTTCCCAGGGATGGAATTCCGTTGTGGCAACCCCTGATTAATAAAGGGACTAAGCCGAAAAGAAAACAAATGAATGAATGAATGAATTAGTGACAAAAACAAAAGACAGTGGAATAACATAAGTGTATAGACCTTTCCCTGATTTTTTTGTCAGCTTGCAGTTTGTAGGAGTTGGTTGTTGTTGAAAGTGCGGACTGGAATTTTTGCCACTAATTACACTCAACTTTAATCGAGTCAAGTGTAGAACTTGGGTTGAAAGTTGAGTCAAAAGCTCTGCAGCAAGTTGCCTTACAATTTTGAGTTCAACTTTTTTTTTCTTTTTTAAATTGTAGTGGACACAGGCATTTTAACCAACAGACTATGATTCCATCTAGTTAAATTATATCAAACATACACTGTTAAAGGCAAAATTATTACCCCTCCCATGAAACTTTATTTTTTTAAATAATGATAAATAGATGTAAAAAATTAGTGCAGTATTTTCTATAATATTCCTTTCTTCTGGAGAAAGTATTACTTTTAGTTTGGCTGAAATAAATAATAGGTCAATATTATTATCACTCCTAAGAAATTATTAGTTGACTGGTTGTAGAACAAACAACTGTTGTCCACTCACTTGCCTAAATAACCAAACCTGTCTAATTAATCTAATTAGCCTAGTTAAGCCTTTAAATTTCTTTTACCTATAAGCTGAATTCCAATATCTTGCAAAATAACTAGCAAAATATTATGTACTATCATCATGGCAAAGACAAAAGAAACTATTATGTTTAAAAATGTGTTATTGGGAGCACTTGGGAACTTATTTTAAAAAGCATTACAATTAATAAATCATTAATTATTATCAATTGATTATTAATACATTAATTTTAATTGTAATAATAGCTACTACAATAATGATTCTCCACTTAACCAGCAACTTCCTAAATAGCTATTTATGTGTTAATGTTCTTATTTATGTTACAATTAGGTTTGCAAGCGAAAGCACAGTGTTATTAATAAAAAGTCAACATCCCTTCACCAAGACTGGATGCGACACCAGGTTGATGTCTCCGTTGGGTCCTAAAGATGAGAATGACTGCCAAATACCTCAAATATGTGTATCATTTCTCCCAAAAAAACTGTAAAGATGAACACAAGAGCTAGAGAAAGTGTTTTTTTTATTCTGTTTAATACGGATCGGCTATGAAGTGTGCGTTTGTGTCATCAATAATTAAAAGTGCTGGTAAAACAGTTATAAAAATCACGACATGAAGAGGTAATTTGATGAAAAATAACAACATTATTGCGTTAGAGCTTAAATAAACTTTTTAACGCAAAAACAACATTATGCAGGCATATTAATACAGCTGTTCTGCATCAGTAATTCAGTTGACTGTTGAAATTCAACATTTTTAATCCAGCTAGTGAAGTTATCAAATAAATAACTCAATAAAAGTTTATAAATAAACTCAACAAAGCACCAAATATTTAACCCAATGGTTG